GATTGAATTTATAAATCTATATAGAAAACTATTTGGATTTTTGTACATCTTCTTGTGTAAGTTTTGGAATTGACATTTTTCTAGTTTATCCAGTTCCTATACATTTTCAAATTTACTGGCATAAAGTTATCTGTATTATCATTTTATGATCTTTAAGTCTATAGGATATGTAGTGTTAGACTCCTCATCGTTCCTGATATTGGTTATTTGTGACTTCTCTTTTTTCCTTTTTATCAATCTCATCAAAACGTATCCATTCTTTTGGTCTTTTCTAAGAACAAACTTGTGGGTTTGTCCCTTCTGTTGCATTTTATTTTATTTCATTAATTTCTGCTTATTATTATTAATTCAGATTCAGGAAGTACATGTGCAGGTTTGTTACACAGGTATATTGCATGATGCTGAGGTTGGGGCTCCTAGTGATCCCATCACCCAGGAAATAAACATAATACTCAATAGGTGGTTCTTCAGCCCTTGCATTCCTCCCTCCTTCCCTGCTTTTGGAATCCACAGTGTTTATTGCTCCTATCTTCTTGTCCATGTGAATCCAGTGTTTAGTTCCCATTTCTGGGTGAGAACATGCAGTATTTGGTTTTCTATCTCTGCCTTAATTTGCTTAGGATAATGGCCTCCAGCTACATCCATGTTGCTGCTAAGGACATGATTTGGTTATTTTTTATGGCTGCATGCTCTTCATTATTTTCTTCTGTTTTCTTTGGGCTTAACTTGCCTTATTTTTCTAACATTTTAAAATGGGTATTAGATTAATGATTTTCAGCATTCTTCTTTTCTAAAATGTAGAAAGGCTGTAAATTTTCCTCCAAGTGCAGCTCTAGTTGATCTTATGTGTTTTGATACTTAATTATTCATGATTATTCAGTTACAGTATTTTCTAATTTCCATTAGAATGGCTTTTTTTGGCCTACAGGTTATTTGGAAGCATACTTCTTAATTTTCCTCTTAAATATATAGAGATTTTCAAAGTATCCTTTTACCATTGATATACAGAATGATTGTTCTGTGGTAAGGGAACGTTTTTTGAAATTTGTTGAAACTTGCTTTAATATCCCAGCATATGCTCAATTTTTATTAATGTTTCACAAAAATAGTATCTACCCTTGAATTTTGGGGTGCAGTGTTCTATGTATGTCAAGTAATTCAGGTTTTTTAGTGTATCATTCAATATTTTATCATCTACTGATTTTTGTGTCAGCTTGGTGTATCAGTTAATAAGAAAGTTATATGAAAATCTTCCACATGATTGTGGATCTGTCTGCTTTTTCTTATAATTCTGTCAATTGTTTCTTTATATGTTTTGAGACCATATTTGTAAGTACATACATATTTAGAATTATTGTATCTTTCTGGGGGATCAAACCAGAAATTATGAAGTATTTATTTATGAATTATACTTACGAAATGTAAAAAAAAAAAGAATGAAAAATACTATTTGACTCAACAATCTCATTACTGGGTATATACCCAGAGGAATACAAATCATTCTACCATAAAGACACATGCATGTGAATGTTCATTGCAGCACTACTCACAATAGCAAGGACATGGAATCAACCTAAATGCCTGTCAATGACAAAAGAGTTTTGAGACTACATATTAGTTTTGAGAACAAAAGAACTCCAAGTTCCAAGATCTGAGAGATATAAATTTAGGTTCTTAATGAAACCTGCTCTTTATTAAATTAGTGATTTACATTATTTTTTGATGTTGAACCATCCTTGCATTCCTCTGATATACCCTGCTTGGTCTGATGCTTGATACACTCATTACACAGACTATGGACCGGGCACTAGTATTAACTCATGTAATCCTCATTAACCCTATTTTATAGATGCTATCATTCTTTCAAATTTACAAATAAGAATATTGAGGCATATAGAGGTCAAAGTGATTTACCAAATATTATGCAGTTAATTCATGGGCTAATGAATGTAGGAAATCAGATTCCAGAGACTTCTATTAACCATAAATACATTGCTGGTCTTAATAGCTATTTTTTACATTGTATTTTTGCATCTGTACTTACAGATTAGGTTGGCTGAGAGTTCCTTTCTCTTTTTCCGTCCTTATGCATTCTGTGTTACATATTCGGCTAATCGTGTTAGTTAAGTAGCTGTAGACGCAAACCATTTCTATAACAGAGAAATTATCTCTTCTCTGAAGATTTGCTACAACTCACCTTAAAACCATTTTGTTGATGGAGAAATGGTTGATAATTTTTGACTTCCATTTTAATAGTTTATGTGATACAATAATATATTCATTATTCTAACACTTCTAGGGCCAAAGTAAGCAATTATAAACTTTCTTATAATATTATGTATTTTAACTAGTTTTCTAATATATTGCTATAAAATCTACTGTAGATGGTATAATTTTATAATGTTAGTACTATCTATATTAGTATAATAATCCCTTTTCCTTCCTGATTTGTTAATTTCTTATACCTTTTCTATTAATCATTGATATTGTATCAGTCAGCTAACACAATAGTAAATCTCCCTCTGAGGCCTTGCAACAATAAACGTTTTTATTTCCTGCTCTGTATCTTCCAGTTTGTTGAGCTTTGGCTGGTTTCAGCTGAGTGAGCCTGGACTCAGCAGCAGTCAGCTGGACTCCAGACTTTCAGATGAGTTCATGTCTGTTCCATGTAACTTTCCAGGGTATACACTACCCATGATTGGGAAAGAAACACAAAAGCCATGTCAAACCTGTAAGCACACATAAAGCTTCGTTGTAGCTCATGGTCACATGGCCACACCAAACAGCAAAGGGACTGGAGTATTTACTTCTCACACTCTAGTGGGAGCCTTTACGAAGTCCTATGGCAAAGGGCCTGAGATGCAATTTTACAACAAGGCGGAAACAACCCAAATGACCACAACCATATTTGCTAAGTTTATGTCTCTGACAAAGAACCAGTATTCAATTTTATTAGCTCTATAGTATTTTTAATTCTAGTCTGTTAATTTAATTACATAATTCTCATTTATTCCTTCATTATACCCTCTTTTGAAGTGCATATTAATTTATCTGTCATGTAGGGTCCACACTCCTTGGAGGGCTATTTCTGAGGCTTGTCATTTCTATCAGCTCTCACTCTGCTTATCCCCTACTGTATTTGATAATTGTCCCATCATGAACTCAAATCTGCCTGGCCTCCATCTGAGACACCACTGAGGTGCCTGGGCTGTGGGTGTGGTTCTCCACTGAGTTTATGTCTCCACAATGCAGGAGATCATGCTGCGCTGAGACACTGGAAACACAATTTTTCATCTTGACATAAATAACAAAATTCAGTAATAGTCATAAGAGCAGCATAAATTCACCTCTGAGTCTATGAGAGGACAGACCTATGGGTATACATCCTTGGGGGAGAAACTCGTCCCCTCCAGAATCCAGGTTTTCTCAGGTTTCTTTGCTCCTAGGTGTATTTACCTCCTGCCTACCCTCTGTCTACTCAGAACCACCCTTTCTCTAAGTCTGCAGCACAGTTAGGATCCCGGCTCAATGCAAATCTGTCAGTTCCACTTTCCCACCTTCCTGGGAGATCTGCCTATTTTCTGTGTGAATTGAAAGTCCTTTGTCTTCTGGGCCTATGGGCCCTTCAACATTGTGTCAATGGCATCAGGAAATCCAGCTCTGAGAGTGATCTTCTTTACCTTGGGGGCCCCCCTTGGTGCGTGGCAGGCCCCCTGAATGGGAACCAGAGGGCCACTGGATGGGGCCTGATGACATGAGTACACAGGGTGAGGACCCTTGAGAAACCAAAATCCCCATCACCAGGCAGAGTTACAGGGAAGTGACCCACCTCACTCCCCACCTGGGAAAAACAAACCTCTGAAGTTATTTGGTGACATGAAGTGTTTCAAAGACTGGGTGTGAGTTTGGAGGAAGGCAAGCATTAAAGCTCACATCTGGGACCTGAACGGCTTGACCAGCCTCTGGTGACAAGAACTGGACACTTCTGGAAATTCAGGCCTGGATGAGCACAGATGGTCTAAGTCTCTGCCTCTCTCTTCATCCTTGTACCAAATCCTCCTCTGTGCCCAGCCCTGGATTGCACCCTGGGGACAGAGATGTGAACCGAGTACAGCTCCTGCCCTAGAAAAGTGAGGTCACTGGTAAAGGGGGCACAGATGGTAGCTCTAGTCAGAGAGAAGAGGGCTGATTTGAGGACACGCTGCTGGAGGATTTATTTGTTCCACAAATGTTTATTGAGCATTGATTCTGTTTCCAGGCACTCTTCTCGGTGGAGAAACAACAGCTAGGGAACAAGACCCCTGTTCTCATGAGCTTCTCATTCTACAGGGATGGGGGATGGTTGGTGGTCAATCAATATGTCACCAGTAAGCAAAGATACAAGAAGATATCTGGACAGAGGGAGCAGCGAGCGCCAACACCCACATTCGGCTTTGGATTGAAGTCAGCTGCAAATACCCCTTCCCTTTGTGCCTGGCCCTGTGTACCTAGATGCCCAAAGAAGACACTTGACAAACATTCTAAATGAGAAGAGAGGAAGGAGGTGACTCAGTGCTAGGGGTGTTTAGTCTCTCCACTCTAGCCCTACAATAAACAAAATACAAATGGAAGTAGTTCAATCAACTGATACAAAGGTGTGTACACATGTGGGTGTTTGTGTGCATGTGTGTGTATGTGTGTGTGCATGCATTTGTCTGGTGGAAAATCTATGCATTCTTCTTCTGAAAATAAATATCTGAAGAAAACTACCCTGGGAACCTGTGACTCTGGAAGCTCAGAGGCGCTGAGTCATAGAGATGGATGCCTGCGAGGAGGTAGTGGGGTGGGGGGCGGTGGTTAGGGCACTAATGTAGAGAGCTGCCCAGTGCTGTGCTAGAGACCCTGCCAGCAGCCCTGGAGAGCTGCCCAGGACACAGTAGTTCTAGGGATGGTTGATTATTAATCTGGGGTTGAAGGCCAATCCAGCGCTGTCCCTGGTCACCACACTGATTGGATTGGACGTCACTGAGGCACCTGTCAGAGGCCTGGGCTGGAGGACCAGCTTCCCTGCCACTAACTCCAGGCTCCGAGGAAGCCCTAGTAAGTCATTTCTGGAGGAAAGAAGTAGGGGCCTGGGCCAAGAGACTGGCTTCTTGACTGAATCCTGGTGAGGTAGGGGTTTGGGGTGGTCATCAGATCCACCTGGGGCCTCTCTTTCTCTCTGGCCCAAGCAACTGGGAGCTTCCTGTATCCACTTGGCCATCAGCAAACTAAAGGGTGGTCTTTGCCAAAGTGAAGAATAGAAGTGGTATGTGCACGCCAGTGACAGGTACAAGCCTTGACTGTGGCATCCAGTGCCAATTCAGCACCAACAGGAGAGATTTTTTAAAAAAGACAAGAATGATAGAAAGAGGAAAGTTGAAGAAGGACATGACCACAAAAGTTCCCTTCCAACTGGGCATCTCTCACTGTGTCCTGGAGGAAGGGAAGGGTTAAGGGACTGTGGCTGGGATAGCAAAGGCAGATGCAGTGTTGGGCAGCAAGAGTCAGAACATTGGGATTTGAGGCTGGAGCAGAGCAGAGGGAGAGTCCCATGGGGTCCCGGCTGCCAAGTGTCCTGGAGGACAGGCCAACCTGGACAAAGGCTCGAAGAGACTCTGATGGCTGGGTAGGGGCACAGAGCTTGGGGGGCATCTGGGCAACCTCCATGATGGGGAGCAGGAGCTGAATCCCTCCAGACTCAGGCTGAGCAGAAATTTCAGAGCCTGGTGGTGAAATGGCCTCTCAGTGGAAGATCTCAAACCAAGAGAAGTCTCATCTGCACAGGATCAATCACCAAAAAAGTTCCCATTTTGAAGGTCAGAATCCTGCCTCAGGGCACTCTAGGTCCCAATCCCACAGCAAGTGCCTGTCACAAAATAGACATTATGCAAGATGGTCAAGAAGCAGCTGGGGAAACAGGGGCTGCTCTGAGGACAGCTGGAGCCCCACCATGTCAATCAGAAGTTTTATAGGAAGTGAGAGAGTGGATATCATCAACCAAGTCCAGCCAAGAGATGGACCTTGTGGGACCTCAGGTCTCCTGCCCCAGTCTGAGTACAGCTCTTTCCTTCCATAGGAAAGGAAGAAGGAAACCATGGCTCCTTTAGCACTTTAGAAAGAAATCCGAGCAATCCAGGGGCCAAAGCTCACACAGGCAATGAACTCTCTTCACCTTTGTCTGGACACTGGACACAGGGCTCATGGATAATCCTCGAGCCCTGTGGGCTGTCAAGTAGGAGGTGCCTACCTGTTAAGATTTGTGCTGGCAGGAGCTCTGGGACCCCAGGGAGAATGGGCTCGTGTTCATCTTGCACCTGCCTTTGTTTTGGCACTGATCTAACTCTCACATTTTTTACCCACCCATCTCCCTAGTAGCCTGAAAGTCATTCAGAGCCAGGGGTTGTGATGGTCCCCTCTGTGTCCACTGTGCCCAGCACGGGGTCCAGCACACCACAGTGGGTAGCAAATGCTATTTAAATCAGATGGGATGAAATTCCCTTCCTTCACTTTCTTCACTTCAAGGCAAGGACCATGTTCCTGTTTCCGTCATTCCCTGTCCTTCTCCTGTCTGTGGTGACAGCTTCCTGCTCCGAAACAAAAGCCTGTGAGGATGCCCAGAAGACCTGCTCCGTGATTACCTGTGGCATCCCCGTCACCAATGGCACCCCAGGCAGAGATGGGCGAGATGGACCCAAGGGGGAAAAGGGAGAGCCAGGTCTGGGACAGGTTTCTGTGGCTTCCTAAATCTCCACCTCCAGCAGGTGTTCAAGCAAATCTGTGCTTGAGCCTGCCACACAAGGGTTAAAGCACAGACTTGGGGAGGCTCCTCTTTCTTTTTTTTTTTTTTTTTTTTTTTGAGACAGAGTCTTGCTCTGTCGCCCAGGCTGGAGTGCAGTGGCGCAATCTCCGCTCACTGCAACCTCCACCTCCCGGGTTCACGCCATTCTCCTGCCTCAGCCTCCCGAGTAGCTGGGACTACAGGCACCCGCCACCACGCTTGGCTAACTTTTTTTATATGTTTAGTAGAGACGGGGTTTCACCGTGTTAACCAGGATGATCTTGATCTCCTGACCTCGTGATCCACCCACCTCGGCCTCCCAAAGTGCTGGGATTACAGGCGTGAGCCACCGCACCCGGCTTAAGGTTCCCCTTTCATCAGGACCCAAGCTACACTCAGAACAATCCCTGTAAAATACCATTGTCTCCAAAACAAAGCTGCTTGCTGACTCTCCAGGATCCCATATTTCCACACAGGAACTGGGAGTGTGTGGTTGTCCCTACAGAGGGGTGTCCCACCTGCTTAGGGAGCTGGCCTTGGTGCAGGCCTTCCACTGGGATGCAGGAGGGTCTTTCTTTTTTGGGTTACATCACTAGCTCACTGGCTGTTCCGGGGGTAAACATGAATGGAGTATTGAGCTTTCTGGAAAAAAAAAAAAAAGAATGACAGTCACTGGGTCATCTTCCCTTTATCTTGCAACAGGTCAAGGGCTCAGAGGTTTGCAGGGCCCTCCTGGGAAGTCGGGGCCCCCAGGAAACACAGGGGTTCCTGGAATTCCAGGACCAAGGGGACAAAAAGGAGATCGTGGGGACAATTCAGGTAAGGGGTGTACCTTAGCATGGTGGCCTGGGGGTCCCGGGCCTGGGGAGCTGGAGGGCCAGCTGGGAGGTCCCCTTCTCCTGCTGCCTCATGGGAAGATGCACAACTTTGCATCCTGGCCCAGCACCCCTGGTCCTCTCAGCTTTACTTGGGGCCTGAGGGGACTCCCATAGGTGCCCAGATGCAGACGGTTCATGCCATGTAGGGCCATTCCCTTGTCAGGCCCCTTAGCAGATGGGCCCTGGCTTTTCCTCAGTGGAAACAGTCCAGTGTGCACCTCCGGGGTGCCAGAGAGGAAATAGGCCCTTTAGGGGGTTGGGTTTATGTCCATTGTCACAAGAGTGGCATGAAAACGTTCTGTCTCTTAGTACTCCTGGGTGACGAGGAACATCACAGCAACTTAGTTCAGAGAAAAATGGAGCAAATTCAGTAAGAACAAAAGAACAATGACAACCTACTTATTCATATTTGCCTACCAGGCTGTCAAAACAATAAACGTATTAAAAAGTGTATCTGGAACGAGCAATGAAAGTGAATGACAAAGAAATGTTTTCAGAAAGAAGAGTAATGAGTTGAGTATTTTCTTATGAATTCTTACAATATGACAATATGCAAGCTGTACATGGAGACAGGGGTTCAGGCCTGAAGTTCCAGGTTATGAAGGGATGCAGAGGTATAGCTGGGAAGCAGGAATGTAGTCATTTTCCCCCTTTTATTTCTTTTGCTTTCTTATTTTCCTCGAATAAGCGTTCTTCTTAGTAAGCCACTTTGTTTTTTTCAAAATGCTCCACTCTCCAACTTAAGGTCTTCTCCATAAATACCTTCTCCCTGTTGCTTTGCAGTTGCTGAGGCTAAGCTGGCCAACTTAGAGAACAGCTACAGAGCCTGAGATCAGAACTGGACCACATGAAGAAGCGTGAGCTTTCTCTCTGCCCATAATGTGTTCTTGGTTCTCACTCTTTTCTTCAGCACACTCTAGGTTTGGAGGAGGTGGGAGGGGAACTAACTCATGAACACTTGTCCTACACCAGGGCCTGTGCTGGGGGGCATTTTCCCAAAAGATGGTTTCATTCAATCCTCTCAGCAACCTCAGCTGTGGTTGTTGAACTTGCTTTATTGACAGGTGAGGAAACCGAGGTGCAGGAAGTGTTGGTGACTCATTTCAGGTCACACAGCTGGGAAGTGGCAGGGGAGGGTTTGGATGGAGGTCTGTCCTCTCCAAAGTCTGTGCTCCTTCCTTGTTATCTACTGTGCTCTGATGTCTGTCCCTGCCTCTTCCTTATCCTGGTGCCCAAGCCTACAGTGGGGCCCAAGACTGTCTCCCTATGTGCACCTGTGCTGAGGCAGGTTTTAGCAGATGCTTTTTCAAGGTGGGATATCCCAGGGGAGCCTGGGCTGTCTGCAGGGGTCTGGACGCCCCTTCCCAGGCTCTGCAGCTGAGGTCTGCTTCCTGACCCGGCTCTGGACTGAGCTGCTGGGCATAGGGTGATTTTTCAGAGATCTGACTTCCCAGGGAACTCAGACTACTTGCCTACTGTCCTGGGCTGGGCTCCAAACCCAGTCAGCCTCACTCACCATTTGTGGTTTCAGTGCAAGCCTTCTCCTTGGGGAAAATGTCTGGGAAGAAGCTCTTCGTGACCAACGGTGAGCGGATGCCTTTCTCCGAAGTGAAGGCTCTGTGTGCTGGGCTCCAGGCCACGGTGGCTGCCCCCAGGAATGCCGAGGAGAATAAGGCCATCCAGGATGTGGCCAAAGACGCTGCCTTCCTGGGCATCACAGATGAGGCAACTGAAGGCCAGTTCATGTACGTGACGGGCGGGAGGCTGACCTACAGCAACTGGAAGAAGGATGAGCCAAATGACCACGGTTCAGGGGAGGACTGTGTGATTCTCCTGAGCAATGGGCTCTGGAATGACATCTCCTGCACGTTCTCCTTCATCGCCGTCTGTGAGTTTCCTGCCTGAAGAGGCACGTTCCTCAACCCCCTTCTTGGCTCCCTATTGCTCTCTCTGCTGCTTTGGAAGAGAATTCAATGCTGGTTTTCTTCTGCCCTGTGTTGAGTCCTTCCTTCATGTGGATGGGAGGAAAATGAAGGGGATATATTTGATTGTGGGGTGAGAACAGAAGAAGAGGCTGGCTGTGGGGCACAAGGGTTCTGGTTCAGCACATGGCAAAGGACACCCCCATCCCACTAGGAGCACAGTGCTGGGTCGAGTCCACCCTGGAAAGGGCCACATCTGACCCTCTCATTTCATGGTGAAGACACTGAAGCCCGCTAGAAAGACCCAGTGGGGCCACACCTGGGTCAGAGCAGGCTGTAGATTCCAGCCACTGAGAGATCTTATTCCTTTTCCCCAAGAGTCGCCACTACTGGATGCGTAAACTCCTTCCATGGCAAGCCCAGACCTCTCTAGGACACAGGTATTGTTTCTAGTTGTTCATGAGCTGCACCAGACAACCTCTCACTGCCTGACTGTAACACCTGGCAATCTCCTGCATGGGCAACAGTTGTTAGTCCTAGGAATCCTCTCATCATGCCCACGTAGCCGTGCCACCCTTTAGTCACTAGGGTGACCTTAAAGCCAAAGAACAGTTTTTCCTCCTGCATCATTTTAGGAGACTGACTCGACGTTGAGGTGTATCAGCTGCGTGTGAGGAGGCAAATTGTCACGCAGGGTGTGCCCTTCTCCACAGACCTCCTGAGTCTCATGAGTCTTAGCCCCAACTCCTACTCCAGTCCCCCACCTGCCCAGCAGTCCCTCCTTTCCCTGTAACATCCTCTTCCCATTATATGTCAATGGGCCCATTATCACACAATGAGATGGGAAAATATTTCATAAATAGGCTAAGGGCCACTTTAACTCTGTGAACAGTTTTAGTTAATCTTAGTTTTCTATTTTACTTCTCTTTGTATCTGAACTACCAGGAAAATCACCTCATGGTTGGTAAGCACTTGATGAATATTTGTCAAATGGGTGCATCAAAAAATTACACAGGGACGCATGGGTAGGAACCCAGGGACTGAATGTCAAGCATGCTTTCTTCTTCTGCGGGACTATCAGGGCAGGGCTGGTACGTTTCAAGGGCATTGGGACCATCAGGGTGAGGGTGGCAGGAACTGTGTCCTTGGCCTCTGGCCTACATAGACAGCCATATCACTGAATTTTCAATTCCAAAAAAATCCTTCTATAGGAGCCAAAATTGGGGTCAATGAGAGGAGTATTTTTGTGATGTCGAGCAAAATAATTACTTGCTTCCAGTGCAATCCAGACTGCTTACCGAGGGAACAGGAAATTGGTTAAGCTTTAGAAGCACATATGAAGCCACAGTTTATGGCAAATAGAGAAAGGAAGGACCAGAAACTTTTTAGAGGGAGAAAAGACACACATATACGGTGATCCAGAACAAAAGAATGACCAGAACCAAGCATGAGTGTTACACCTGAATGTTCTCACAGCCAAGATGAAAATGAGAAAACTGGCCGGTGATGGTTATATCATTCTTCCTATGTTATGCTAAGGAGGGTTGTCATGATCAGTGCTGAGATGAATGCCTCCTTTTCCACACTGGGCATAAAGGACAATATCTTCAGCCATGAAACTGTAAAACATGCAGTTATGTACTCCACAGGGGTGGTTTTCCAGCATGCAATGATTGCCCCTCAGTCAGGGAAATGCAAAAAATCTTGCAGGGCAAGCTCCAATTCTTCCATCTTCCTTTCAGACTGCTTCTCTTAGTTCCCTCTATGGGGCTCTTTTCCTCCTCTCTCTCTTTCAATCATTATGGCCTTACGTTCCTGCTCTAAGAGCTTTTATTGCCACCAATGCCCTGTCCTCCTCCCCAGCTCATAAGCCTCCTCTCCTGCCCCCTGGCACTTTGAGGTTCCTTGCTGATTCTCTCTTCTCTCAGCTTACCTGGCAGGGCATGAAGGCTCCTATTTCTATTTGATAGTAAGGAAGATTGCCATGGTCAGTGCTTCTGGATGGGTCGGGCTTTGTTCTCTCCCTGATCCCGCACCTGACCATCTCTTTTGAGCTCCTTTCTCTAAATGTATCTGCAGCCACATTATTCTTCCTTCAGTCTGGAATTGAGACAGACTGCCTCTCTGTATTCATTTCTCAGTTTTTATCTGTGAGCAATGGGAGCCTGATGTGTGTTAGCTGGGGAGAAGGCGGAGTTAATCTGAAGATACAGGTTTCTTTTTCTGCAAGAAAGATGCCAAGAAAAACAATTTTTAAAAAAGATACAGGATTCTCATGAAAGTCCAAAGATAGAAACTTCAGTTCATCCAGGCCTTCCAGGACCTGGGACAAGAGGAACATTTTGGATTTAAGATGACCCTCCAAACAGTCTCCCTCCCTCCTACCCATCCTTCCTTCCTCCTTCCCTTTCTTCCTTCCTCCCTCCCTCCTTCCCTTCCTTCCTCCCTTCCTTTCTCCCTCCCTTCCTCCCTTCCTTTCTTCCTCCCTTTCTCCCTTCCCTACTTCTCTCCTTCCCTTCTCGCTCCCTCTTTCTCTGTCTGAAGGACTGAGGACAGGCAGCTTCCTTTACTAAGGAATAGACAATGGTTGATATCTCTTGCACAGGGAACCCAATGAAGCCACACACTCCACAGACAGGCCTGAGAGGCCCCAGGCAGCTCATTCCCCTGAGATTGCAGGAGTGGGGATGGCTGTGAGCAACCTCTTGAGCCCTGCCGTTTGTTCTAATGGGGTAGATGTCCCTGCCATTCATTTCTCACGTTGGTTTTTGGACCACGGAGTTGAAAGACATCTCCTAGCTGCAGTCTTCTTTTGCTGCCTCTTGCGTGGAGTAAAAACCTGAAGGCCATGCTCAGAGCACTCCTGGAAGGGAAGCTGGTGTTCAGAACTCTGTGCAGCCTGGGCTCGGGCTCTGGGCCATGCCCAGGGGAGAATAAGGCCCGGGTCTCTGTGCACTATGTTAGGGCTGAAGGACAGACGGCTTGGTGGGTGGGAAGTTCAGATTTTGGGAGCAGGAGACAGGGGTTTCAGGTTAGCTCTGTGACTAATGTACTGAGCAGCATGTCAGTTTCCCGGGCCTCAATTTCCCTGTCTATAAATAGGTACTAAAGACTTCTTTCTTCTAAAACTTAATGAATCAATTGTCACACACAAACCCAGACTGTAGGAGCCAATTCAGGAGCAAAGCAGCAGGATCTGAGAACTGTTTTCAGTTGTATTGTGTGTGTGTGTGTGTGTGTGTGTGTTGTTGTTTGTTTTGTTTTGTTTCAAGACAGGATCTTACTCCGTCACCCAGGTTGAAGTGCTGTCGCATGATCACAGCTCACCGCAACCTTGACTTCCTGGACTCAAACGATCCTCCCACCTCAGCCTCCTGAGGAGCTGGGATTACAGGCATGCACCATCATGCCCAGCTAGTTTTTAGTATTTTGTAGAGATGAGGTTTCACCATGTTGTCCAGGCTGGTCTCGAACTCCTGAGCCCAGGAGATCCCCCCACCTTGGCCTCCCAAAGTGTTAGGATTACAGGTATGAGCCACTGTGCCCAGCCCTGTTTTCAGTTTTTGTTGCCTGGCAATTCTGTCCGAAGTATTGTGGGATAAATATTTACCAGCTATTTCTGAATTCTACAGAAGACAGTCTGGGTAAATTAGAATGACAAATATACCTTGGCCTCAAGATGGGAACTTCGGATTTAAATTATGTCTACAGAAGTAGAGGCACAGCAAGTATAATCACAATTTCCCTCCTGTGTTTGAATGAAGGAGGCTACCAAAGCCTGTGACACTCGAGGCCCAGGCTCCTGCCTGGGTCTGAATCCTGGAATTGTAGGGCCTTGTGCCTGCAGGACACTGTTTCCTCAGAGTCCTACAGCTCTGCTGCTTCACTTTAGCCATGTCCAAGCCAGAAGATAGGGGCTTGGGGTACCAGCTGAGGGCCCAGTATTCACATCTGTCAAATCTTCTTCCTGCTGGTGCCAGCCAGCCTCCCTTCTCTGTGGCTGTCAGAGGGGGACCAGTGCCAGGGGTCACAGTCAGTCCCTGGACTTGCCCTCTGTGTCACAGCAGAGCCTCTGACCTAGAAGGCTGTTTGCTTATCATTATGTAACTGATCTGTGCTTTTGAGCCTGCCAAAGCTCAGGGTTTTTCCATTAACTGAAAAGGGATTGGATGTTATCAGAGGGCCTGGGCTGGAGGTGCCGGGAAGTGGATTTTGTAAAGCGATGTTGTCCTGGTAACCCTGAGTGGCTGATGTGCTGCTGGGAAGAGGGGAGGAGATCAGGGCAGTGGGCCATCTGGGAAAGGGTGCTCACAACCCTGGTGGCCACTGCGTGGGGAGTAGACAGTGTCCCCAACTATGAACCTGTGGTTTGTCCAGGAAACACAAGTGCATGTTTCAAAGAAGTGGGGTGCAAGCAGCCATTCATTAACCAAGCAAATGCCTTGGGCAAGGCTAGCCATTGCCAACCCACAGCCCAGCCTGCCCTACCCTGACTTGTGCTTGTGCCACCTTGCACATCTCTTCTAAGTAGTAGTGACCAGCAGAATTGACTGGCATGCTTGACAAAATCATAGGCTCTTGGCATCATTCTGGACCCAGTGAGTGAAAACCTTAGAAATCTGTCATCTTCATGGGTTTCTCAGGTGTTCCGGATGTCTGGCCAGTTTTGAAACCACTGCCCCAAGAAATACAGATATCACAGTGGCTTTCTGCCTGCCTCTCACCATACAGGGTGACCCTGGAGCCTGGAAGCCAGCATTTTCCCATTTCCCATTCCTTATAGCACCCCCTATAAGGGGGTGCTGTTTAACTCTATAGTGTCAGACCCCAAACGATCTCCCTCAACGGACCAGCGCCCCAGTAGTGAAAACCAACTGCAGACCCAAATCTTCCTATTTCCAGGGTCTCACTGCTTCCTGTGACTTTAGGGAGGGGGTCTGGGGTTTGGACAGCTCTGAGGAGCTTCAGAGCACATGAGGCACTGGATGCGTGAGACCTTGAGGGGGGAATTGTGTACACATGGGCTTGGGGCTGTTTGTGGGTATTGTTGTGCATGTGTGAGTGTGTG